AGCAGTCACCCGGCGGCTCGGGACGCGGGCGCTCTCGGGGACACACGCGGGGAGATGATGGCAGTGCCGACGCGCGGGGACACGCACCCATCAGCCCCGCCGACGGGTACGACACTCACGCCGATGCCCTGGCAGTGACACTCACGCCCAGGAGTTGTTGGGATCACGGGCAGAAGTCACCCCGACAGTCATTCACGCGATGTCTGGGTGACACACACTCACCCACGTCCCCCTGACAGCAGCGCATTCATTCCTAAGCCGACACACAGTGACCCACTGTCACACATAGACAGCCACGCACCTACTTACACTACCGTCCCACACAAGTCTCCAGTCATTTATACACAACCACACTCAGTCACTCGCCCATCTGCACTGTCACACCGCCACATACGAGTCACCCATTCCCACACTACGATGCCACACACCCCGTTCCATGCTCCTCTCTGCTGTCACACGCAGTCACAACTGGGGATAGGCACACAAAGAAGTCACTCCGACAGTCACTCGCATTTCCAGTGACACACAGTTGCACACTGTCACACACAGCCACCCCATGGACGGCGAACGTCAAACATACTAATCTCCCTGACCGTCACAGAGTCACTAGTGGTCACACCCCGGGGCAGCCGCAGCCCCCACATCGACCCTCCCCCACCTTGGTCGTCCACACTCGCGTCGGGGTTTTAACTTCTTGGCGCCGCTGCGCACTAATTGGGCCATTTACTAATTGGCCTTCACTGCCTGGTGGGGCTTTGGATTCTGAGTTGGCAGTGGCCCATCGAGGTCTGTCCCCTCCCCAGGAACGGCGAGCGGGCGCCCCTCCAGGCTGGGGCTGCGGTGGAGGACACTCCCCTCTTTCTCGAGATCGCCGCCCCCACCCTCAGCCAGGTCCCCGCCGCGCTGCGCCCGGCGCGATGCGAGCTCAGCGCCTGGAAGCCCGGACGGGCGGCGTCCGACCCCGCTCCCCGCGCGGAGCCCAGGCCGGGACGCTGAGGTGCAGCGGCGCAGTCCGCGTCCCTTCCCTAGCCCTGGAGGGAACTTTCAAACTTAGTTAGGAAGCAGGACGGTCCTTGAGTCCGCGGGTCGGTGCGTCGGTCCCTGGCCGGCCGGAGCCGAGCGCGGCTTTTCGTCACTCGGAGCCCGGATTTAACGGTGCGCGCGGGTTTCCCCGTGGCCGTGGCGCAGACGTGCGGGCTTGGTGGCGCTGCGTGGTGAGTGCGCGTCGGGTGGCTGGATCCGCGGCCCTCCCGGGATCTCAACCGCACCCTCCAGGTTTTAAACTAAGCCTCTTGCTGCGGGGATGCTGTGGGGAGGGGCGTCCCTGCGCGGAACCAGGGGCCGCCCATGTTGGGCCTCTATGAGTACGTCCTCAGGCCTTGGGGAGTGGCTTCTGGAGTCTGGGGGCAAAGCCCTCCTCAGTTCGTCTGGGGCATGGGGTGGGGTCCGGGGTTACAGGGCCTGGGGCGGCGTGGAGCTGGGGTGGGCGGCAAGTGAGGCCTCCAGGAGGATGGAGTGATTATCTTTTGTCCTGTGACCAGCAAAGTTAGAAGCCGAAGAGGGGGATGGTGTCTTCAAGAGAAGGCCAGGTCTTGGGCTGCTTCCATCAGATGGAGAGAAAATTGATTAAAAGTAGCAAGTGGAGTCTTCAGGAAGAAGATGGTTGGGTGTAGGGGCAGCTGGTCTGTCTGCTGCCCTTGGCTTTGTTATTTTTTAAAACAAGAAGTTGGCAAGGCTCTAGCCTCTGGTTTGGGGGCATGGGTGACACGGGGGATTTGTGCCTCAAAGCCTGGTTGGGTAGGTGCTGCTAGCTTGGAGTGTTCCTTTTGGGGGTGGTGTTTCTGTAAACTGGAGTGGTGGTCTCATAAGGGGGCCCTTTGGGTGGGGGTACCCAGCTGAAGCCCCTACTTTATTCTGATACACTATAAAGCTCTGACTCAGCACCAAGAAGCAGTGTGAAGTGCTAGTGGAAGGGCACCTATCAGGGAACGAGAAGCTGATGATTCTAGTTTCTGTCTGTGATCTCGAATCCCTGGCCCAGAGCAGAGGGTGTGTCCAGGAAGAGGAAGAGGATGGCAGCTGAGCCACTAGGAGAGGTGAAAGCTCCTAAAGATCTCACCTTGCACTTGGATGTGAGACCTGCTTCTCAATCCTTCAGCCTCATGGCAGGGTGAGTCAGGGAAGTCACTTGGCTCAGTCAGGGGTAGGTCAGAAGCTTGTTGGTAGCAGATCAGAAGTGGGCATTTGCCTTCAGTGCTGGCGATTGGGGGGTGGGGCGTATTGTGCCAGGAAGGTGATGTTGAGGGATGAGGAGGGGAATGGCCTGGCTCGATCCTTATAGCTGGTCACTATCAGAACTGGAGGGGAAACAGGCCCAAGGTACAGCCATGACCACACTTGGGGTCTGTAGACTGAGCTGCAGAGCCAGGACACAGCCTGCACACTGGGGGCTTGGTGCCTGGAGTCCAGACAAGAGACTTGCTCCCACAGGGACCCAGACCTGAGAAACACAAGGGCAAGCATTTGCCAAGTGATGTTGGACAACCATGGGGCAGTTGACCTGGAAGGGCCCTTGGCGACCGTTCCCTTGGTGACTGTCCCCTTAGCAATCCCCTAACACAGAGATTCCAGCCTTTTTAAACCAAAGTCATGAGCAGTGGCTGCTCTTTTGGTATCTTTTGTTTGAAAAAAATACACAATGGCAAAAAGCTGCTGTGGTTTCCTTTTTGCTTTGAAATAGATGTTTATTTTAGTAATCACAATAATATTAGCATGCATTTGAAAAATAGCTCACAAGTTACGAAGCAGGCACATGACTTAGTTCGTGTAGTAACGATGCCTGGTGAGCATAGGGGTTTGTGGCCCTGTAGCCCCCAGGGTCCGTGGCCCCCTGCTGGGAACCATTGATCCCCCCTTCCTTCACACCAGGGGAAACTGAGTCATGGAGTGATATACTCGTAGATTCCAGAGCAGGTGAAGAGCACAGCTGAGGCCTGAACACAAGCTCCCTGACTCCCAGCTTGACACTCGTCTGGCCTTCCCACAAGTCTTGTGGTTTAGGGGTTGGGAGTCATGACATCCTTCCTGGGGTAACTATACAGTCCTTTCCTTCGAGTTTTGGCAAGGCACTTTGTCAGGCTGAGGTCATTGCCTGGGGCTCCCCACTCAACTGTGGCAGACTGGTGGAAGCTGGCCATTGGAATTGGGCAAATCTGGGTCCAGTTGTGGCTTTGTGACCTAGGGCAAATGATTTTTAGCACTTTTTTTTTTACTGAGATCTGATTTCCATACAATGAAATGCGAATTTCAAGTGTACAGTTCCATGAGTTTTGACAAATAAGAACACCCGTGTAACCACTATCCCAATCCAGATAAAAAACTCTCTATCCCCGAAAGTTCTCTCATGCTCCTTTCCAGTCAACACCCCCTACCCCTAGAGGAAACTACTTATCTGATTTCTATTGTCAATGCTTTATTTAAGTTCAATTTAAGTGTATTAAATCAATTTAAGTTCTAGAACATCGTATGAAGCATATACAGTTTTGCATCTGGACCCATTTTGCTCAATGAAGTGTCCTTAAGATTTAACCATGTTGTACATATCTATAGTTTGTTCTAGTATATTGCTTAGTAACATTATATTGTATGAATATAGCACAATTGGTTTATCTGTTCACCTACCAGTGGACATTTGGGTTTGTTTCCAGGTTGGGGCTATTATAAATAAAGCTGCTGTGAACGTTCGTATACAGGTCTTTCTGTGGGTGGGGCAATTATTTACTATCTCTGAGTTTCAGTGTTCTCTTGAGGATGATACTGACCATCTCTGAGGTTCCAGAGAGTTAAGTGAGGTGACATAGGCTAGGACAGATCTTGGCACATACCAGCTACTAATTAGACAGCAATGGTATTAGCCATCTGGGACCTATTCCAGTAATAGGCTTAGCAACTCTGTGTTCCAAGTATCCTTCATCCCTTCCAAATATCCTTCAAGGCCAACCTGGGTACCACTTTTTCTATGCAGTGCTCCATGGCCAGCAACCTTCTCTCTTCCTCCAGGTTCCCCCCAGGAATGGGTGCTTCATGGGTTTTGGCATGTTCTGCCATCCATCGTTCAATCAACAAACAAAAGGGGACAGTCACCTTCTTGTGCTAGGCACTGTGCTAGGCAACTGATGCTATAGCAGTGAAGCAAAGTGACTCTGGAGCTTACATATCAGCAAGGGAAGTCATAAATAGATGGGTGATACATATATCATACATATATGGTATATATATGAGATATATATCATATATATATATGCGGTATATATATCATATATATTATGATGCCATATACATATCATATACATATGATACCATATATATATGGTATTTTGATTGATGCCAGTACTACAGAGAAAATTGAAGCTGGGAAGAAGGTTGCAGTGTCAAGTCCAGGGGCTGGTTTGCAGTTTAAGTAGGGAGGTTGGGGAAGGCCTTGTGGCCTAGACCAGTAGTTCTCAATTTCATGTATACATTAGGAATCATCTGGCAAGATTTGAAAAACAGATTCCTAGGTACCCCTTCCCGTGCCCGAGATTCTGATTCAGCTGGTTTGCACTGGGGTCTGAGGCTTTGCATGTCTGATGAGCTCCCAGTCGTGCCGCTGCTGCTCCAGAGACCACACATTGTGTAGCAGTGGTTTGGTTGTTTGTATACAGGTTTTTGTGGGCTCCCACCAGGCAGGAACCGTGCCCAGCACCTGGCATAGTGCCTGACCTATAATTACTCAGGAAATTGTTCTGATGGGTGACCCTCCACCCACACAGCTCTGGGCACAGCCTCTTGCCCCTGGATGGGATCTAGACAAGTTTGGTTCGTGAATGATTGGAGGCTCCTTGTGACAAAAATCCATGAAGTGGGAGTTGCTGTTCCCACCTCCCCCAGATTTGAGATATGGGAAGCCCACTCAGCATCTCTGGTAGGTGAGGTCCCCACAGCATCTTTCTGCTGGGGCCCAGGTGGCTGTTGGTGAGTTCTGGGGAGGGAGCCCTGGGCCAGGTGAACCTGGAGCTGGTCCTGGGGGAGCTCAGGACGAATGCTGTGTCTCTGTTAGGAAGCTCTTTTTCACTTTCTACCTAAAGGTGTTCCCTATAGCCCTCTTCAAGGACGACACTTCTCTACCTTATCAGGAGTGGCAGCTGAGGCCTGGCACAACCACCCCCAGTCTGCTGGATGACCTTGAGCATGACAGTGCCCTTCTCTGGGCCTCTGTTTCCCTCTGTGCAAACAGAAAGAAATTAGTGACCATTAGGCTTGTGAGATGGGGAGCTGTGGTGTGGCAATTCAATGAAATAAAGGCTGGGTGTGTCCTTTCTAACTGTAGAGGATGGTGCACCGGCAAGGATGGGGATGATGCTTTTTGAGGATATGGGCCCTTGTATGCTGCAGAGGGTAGGAGCCTCCATGTCTACCTTTGTATTTCCAGAGCTGGACTGGCACGTAATTGCTCAGTAAATATTTGCTGAATGAATGAATTCAGGGCTGGCCTGTTGTTCCCTGTGGCTTGAGGAATTTAACATCTATTTGGCTTTTATAATCTGAAGATTTTGTGGTGAGCACATTGTGTCCAGGGCAGGGCAGGGGCCAAGCGTCTTTTGGCGGACCTGACGTTCCTAGAAGAGCTTCTCTGAGGAGGCCCAAGGGACAGAGCCCAGCATGGAAAGCAGCCAGTAAGCTGGAAAGAGCCTCACCCTCTTGCCAAGGATGACCCTGCAGCGTGGCTGCCAGTCCTGGAATGACTCTGTAGGGCATTTATTTTGCTTCCCTGATTTCCCAGAGCTGGTCTCAGTTATGAACGCAGTGTAAATTTTGGAGCCCAGCAGACTTGAGTTTGACCGTTACCTTACCAGCCTCAGTGGCCACAAGTTATTTCACCTCCCCGTGCCTCAGCCTCCTCTTCTGGAAAATGGGCACATCAACACCTCTCCCTGTGAAGTTGTCTTGGGGGTTGGAAATCCTACATGTAAAGCACTCAGCCCGGCAGGAAATGCTTTCGTTTCTATTCACAAAGAGTAGCACAAGTGAAAGTTAAAAATGCAAGAGAAGTCTAGTTTCAGCTCGAGCTGCTGGGGGAACGGTCTTCATCAAACATTTCTATGCCTTGATCTCTGGATCTGATTTTTCTGGGCCTCTGATTTAAGAGGTCTCTGCTCAGCATTTTGGAATGAGA